ATTGTTGCTTAGACTTTACTTTCTTTAAAGTTACCTCCTCTGGCATTCGTTCCACAAGTTTTCTAAGGTATGTTCCAGGGATTGCATTCCAAGCTTTCTTAAGTTCATTAAAAAGAGACTGCTGATTCGCGGGACGCGTTTTTCTAACCGATCAATCCAATTCATCCCGCACAAGCTCAATTTGAGAAAGGTCTGGAGACTGAGGGGGCCAAACCATCTTTTGAAGAACCCCTTCCTCTTCTTTTTTGTCTAGGTAACCCTGACAGAGCTTGGCAGAGTGCTTAGGGTCATTGTCTCGCTGCAAAACAAACTTATGAGCCACAAGTCTGAGTCCAGATGGAGCAGCATGGTGCTGGAGGATGGAGTGGTACTGTTCCTTCTTCATGATACCCTTTACTTCAAACAAATCTCCTACTCCATCACCTGCAAAACATCCCCATACCATGGAACTACCACCTCCATGCTGAATTGTGGGTGTAACACATGGTACTTTCAGACGTTTACCAGTTTGTCTGCAGACATAGACTCTGCGTTTTGAACCAAACTGTTCAAACTTGCTTTCATCGGTCCAGGGAACTTGCTTCTAGTCATCATAGGTCAAATTTTTGTATGAATCTGTACTTTTGTTTCTTTACTCAGTTGCTTCTTTCTAACTATTTCTGCAGTAGTTTGATGCAGTTGAGATTTCTTAGGTTTTTTGTATGCAGACTCTCAAAAGCCAAAAGTTTAAGTGAAAGTACACTGGTAATTTCTCAGACTGGATGTGTGGAAAGGGTGACCCCAAGGAAGCTATTTAAAGCTTATAGCACTGTGATGGAAATATCATCACCACTCTGCATTTGAACAGCATGATTCACTTTGAGAAGCTCAGAGATAAGAAATCAACTCAGAACGAAACAGAATCAGAAAAGCTGAGAGTCGTCGTCAATCATACTTGGACTCTTGAAAAGTGCAAATAGTGTCACAGTATCGATTGGCATTATCTTGGACATACACTTTTGATCTGAGTTTCTAAGCTGCTTTTAAATGCAAAATAATTGAATTCTAAACGTGTTAAAGTCTGATTTTAAAAAATGATGTTTTGACAGCAGATTGAAGATTGCAACACCACTGCGGAGGATAAGTGTATTTTGTATTGCTGCAGCTCTTAAAACACACGACATTCTCGCACCATGACTTATAGAATCTAAACATTCATCTCTGAAGACTCCTAAAAGTATTTTTCTTCTAAAACCATCTGCAGACTGAAGTTTTATACACACAAAAGTACATTTCTGGCATCTTCTCCTCGAAACAAAAGAGGATAATAAGATGCCTGTGTCAGGACTGGTAAAACATACAGATATTTCTGTTTTAATTACATTTGGGGTTTTCAGATTCGGTTTCCCAGCCACTATAAAAGCCAAACTGGGTTTGAACTCGTGCAAAAGTTACGTCATGGTATTGTCTCTGTTGTATGTTGCGGCCGTGCAATATAAATTTTATATCTCTGCAGCCACACCCCTGTCTTTGTGAAGTTTACACAGCTCAACTGCACCCTTGTCTGCATAATAAAACCCAGTGTTGCGGTGTTGAAAAAGCTCACAGGAGCGTGCCAGAAAAGTGGCGTGCACGCTCCGTGGACGCAAACAGATGAAAACAGTTTGTGAGGCGGATCACCTGCTGCATATCCTCAAGAGAGTTTACTTAAATACTGCAGATATATCTGTTGCTCTATCATTTATAATAAGAGAAAAAATTTTCAACACCATGAGAAAAATTACTCATTTTCTTTCTCTCCAAGAGCGCCACAGCTCCAGCGCTATGACTCATTGTTTTGTGTTGTTTTGGCGCGAGTCAGGAGGCTAATGAGTTGCTTTAAATGTAATTTTCAATAATAAAGTCGTGTTTTTTCGTGGCTCTTAACTCTCCTGTGTTTTTAAACATGAGAGGGGTACTAATGAAGAGGCACCGATTAAATAAGCAGCAGTTTAAACTGAAATATGAGCTGCTGCATAAAACAAGGCTGAGCAACACGTCTATTTTTCATCGCCGGCTCAGGTATGATCGGATCAAAATGTTGCAGGATGTTCCTGAAGGGGTGCGCGCATTCCTAGCAGCCCCCCGCCTGGAGGTTTCACGGCTAAATAAAGGTATAAGAGAGGAAAGACGGGTTAAAGTTGGAGAACAGCTCAGAGTCAGGCCAGAGTCTATCTGCAGTAGTCAATCGGTTCAGTAAATCCACCCGGATTGAAACGTAATACTGGCAGGATTTAGGGGGGGATGGACTGACTGACATTAACACCCCTTCCTCAAAGATCCTTTTTGTCTGAAGCGTTCACTGGTGGACCGAGCAGAGTTAACGGGCCACTCCGAGCGCTTAGCCCAGCAGTTGTGAAAACACACGCACCCCGGCGCCAGAGATCTCGCTGCGCTTTTCTGACCAAAAACCAAGAAGCTCTGGCTGAGACCTGTGACGGGCTCAGAGGGAGCAGAGTGAAGATGAGGGGGTGGAGGAGGAGGAGGAAGATTATTGTCCGAGGCTTTAATCGGGGTTTCTGAGGCAAGGCTCAGCACATTTAAAAGAGAGGGGGGGAAGGAGGTTTGGAGTCAAGTAATACTCGGTCCGTCTGGAGAGTGGAACTCCTGTCAAAACAAGCTATCGTGAGAATGTGAGGCCTGGCTGATGGAGCGAACAGAGGAGGGAGGGAGGGAGAGAGGGAGCCCACAAAACCAGCGAATTAAACAACAGCTCAATACGAGAATTTAAACTGTCGGGTTAAATAATTCAGATATTTTATTACTGCGCTGGAAATTCAAATCTGACAATTCAAGTGTTGGCTGTCAAATTTTTAAGCATCAGCAACGTCTCCAAAGTCAAACACACGAGGACTGTCAAATAATTTCAAAAACAGCGAATAATGTCAGAATTTCAAGAGTTAAAGCTCCTGTAAGAGACTTTAAGTGTTGGTGCCCCTTGTGGACAAAGCAGTCAGAAAAAAAAGTGTCCCATCTTCTTGAGTCATCTGATTTCAAACTTTCCCCCTCAGGGTGTTTCAGACGTTAGAGTCATGATCAGCAGATTTGTGTCGATGGTTTTGTTTGTTTTTGAAGGTCATCGTATCAGTTTTACTCAGTTTCTAAACCACTAAAACAAACTCCTCACTGGGAATCAAATAAACGCAGTAAAAATGATCGATGCAGTCTTGACTTTTAGATTTATTGTGTGTTCCAGTTGTACTCAGAAGTCGGGATTTTCTTACTCCGAATCAAAACTGTCAACTGGAACAAACCCCCCGAGGTCTGGTTCTCAACTCGGATAGTCGGACGACCCACAGAACCCTCCAGTTGACATTTAAAGATGGCAGCACCGGTTGTAAACAGTAAGTAGAAGCTAGTTATAAAGAAAAACTAGTGTTTGCAGGTTGCAGGACAACCACAAATTTGCCCAGAAGTTGTTCCTTTTTGGACAAAGCAAGCGGGAGAATAACTTTTGGAGATGTAGCCTTCTTGTTTTCACTTCCGCTGTTGGTGACTTTTTTCCGACTTTGTAACTGAAACGCTGATAACTCAGGTGTGATGTCATTCCCAGCTCCAACTACCAAGGTAAATGGAACGCACCATTATAATACGAATGAATGCTGCACTGAAACCAATACAAGATCAATTATCCATAAGACGTATGACCGATCTCAATATGCCAAACCAAACTTGAGTCTTCATAAATGTCGGCTGACTTGCAAGTCAGTTTGCAAGTGATGGTGTTTTGGTTTCATCCACAGATCTGAGGCCATGTGTCATTTAAAGATTCCTCATGAACCAGAGCACAGACTGGAGGACTCAACGGCACAACACCAATTCAGGTAGTGGGTTTAATGAGGTTCAGGCAAAGGTCGGTACACGACAAGGCAGTCAGGTCAGGCAGAGGTATCACAACGGTAAAACATGGCTTGGCGACAAGTATGAATAAAAGCTGGAATGAGACAAGAAGTGCAACGAACTGACAACGAGACTGTGAAACACACGGGGTTAAATAGAAGAGGTAATGAGGGTGATCGGAAACAGGTGAGAGGACACAATCAGGCGGCAGGTGTGACGAGACGGGGGAAGGGCAGACCAGACAGGAACGAATCTAGAGGACAGGAACAAAGGTTAGTGAACCACAAAATAAAACAGGAAATACATGATATGAAACAAAACATGAATGTGCAGAAATAAAGGAAACTTAACCGACATGAAAGAACTGAAAAATAAAAGAGGAACTTGACCGACATGACTCTGCAGGGTGTCATTTTTCATCGCTGTGAATACAGGTCGTCTTCCAGGTCAAAGTGTTTCCAGCTCTTTATTTGAGCTGTTAGAGACAGAATTAGGTAAGACTCACTAACACAGAGAGACGAAAGGCTTTTATTGCAGAGTTAGATTTTTTTATCTGCAGCACTCTGCAGCCGGTGATGTTCCTGCTGAAGTGCTCTCAGGCGCTCTTTCTATTACTCCGGTTTATTTGTGCTCTTCTATTTTGGATGCGACCTATTTCAGAGTGGTGTGAGAGTGTTTATCCAGTCCTCTTGCCCCCACAGAAACACTCAGGTTACTATCCTGCAGTAATTACGCTCCCTGCTTTTAGCTGTCATAACATTAAATGTTTGGGTTCAGGGAAAACAGAGCACGCCGTCGCACCGGACAAAAACCGCTAACCAGACATAGTAACCCGTGTTTAACTGCAGCGGCCGGCTGGGCTGCAATATAGAAACCTCTGTCAGCAGGAGGGAGAGTGGGCAGCCGTCCACTCCACCAGACAATAAAAGATATGCAGGATATGTATTTATATAAATATGTGTGTGGAGGTGGAGGAGATGTAGAAAGAAAAGGTTGAGCACTCACTGTCTTTAAGATCGCACATTTTTTTAGTCGTTTAGATTTTAAAAGGGAAACACGAAAGCACAGAAATCCAAGGATTCACAGAGACACGACGAGACCAGAGAAAAAGGCCACGGGTGCCGCCGGTCCAGCTGGATCCCCTTTCGTCTGAGCTATCAAATCAGGTCCGCCGAGGTGTCATTACTGCGTCTGGATGGACTAAGCTGTTTGCAGATGATGGATGATTTCAGGTCGGTGTTGGTTCTGACCCAGCTTTGCATCAGTGAAAGTGTTCCGTCTGTGCAAACCCCAGTCCTAAAATAAACTACTTTCAGCATTTCATACAAAAGAAAAATGGACCCGGAGAAACAGGTCCAGACACAAAACAGAAAGAAGTCTGTCGCCGTAGAACTTTTGCTGCTTTGAGACTTTTACGATAAATGTCATTTTAAAAAACACAAATATATTCTTTGGTCATCTTTCAGTGGAGTCACCCTGAGAATCTGGAGGCAAAAAGCTTCTGTAGCCCAAATACTGGAAAAACCAAAGCTTCTAAGAGGGGTTTGAATTTGCTCCTGTGGTGATGTCACAACAGGACTGGTTTTTATTGGCCGGCAAAAGAAACAGTCTCCCACTTCCTTCGACATGATTGTGGGTTTTGTTTGGTGTTACAGAGGCAACATGTCAAAGGTCAAAGCCAGACGGACCCAGGGACAGGGTTCCAAAGGAAACTGTTGTTGTTTTTTTATTTTCAATGATAATCTGTCAGCTACAGTTTGGGCTAATATGCGAATTAGCAGAAGTTTTAATTCAAGAATAAAACTGAAAAACTAAAACCAGTTAGGAGACAGACTTGTTATTCTTCAGGTGAACTCACCAGTTTTGTTTTGGTGTTTTTCCACCTCTGTATCCTGTGTGCTGGTCCACATTAGAGCACGACATGGGAGCGGGTTTTCACTCCTGTCCCCTCCCACTCCCAGAGAAAAAATCCTGTCCTGTCCCACTCCTGTAGAATGACTCCCACTCCCATCCCACTCCCACTCAAAATTACTCCCACTCCTGTCCCGCTCCCATTTTAATAAAACCAAACATTTCCAACACGTTGCATTTTTTTATTTTAGGTAAAAGTGGCAGCCGATTCAGAGCAGCAGTCGCTCCCGGCGACACCGTCAGCCGCTCCGAGTCGCTTTTTACTTCCAGTGGTGACAGGAAGTCAAACCACTGTTGTAGTTCTTTAGTGTTGCTAGCGCGGTCAAGATTCTTGGCCCTTACTAAGAGATGACTACAAAAATGGACGCACCTGTTCATCTGGTTCTTTAACACGAATGAAAATGATCATCTATTAATGTTGTTCCTGCTCCTGTTGCTCCCGTCCCGATCAAGGGATTAATTAAAAAATGACTCCCATCCCCTGGGATTCCCACGGGAATTACGTGACCCACGAGAAGTCCACACCATTGACTGTATAAACTAAAAACAATTTGGCTCCGCCTTCCGTCATAATACGAATTTGAAGCCGAATTGCTCGTCACCAGAGGGTGCTGTTCTCACAGTGGCTTCACCCATCGAGGAGGCAGACGGCGTTCATTCTATATACAGTCTATGGTCCTCACCTTCCTCTCTCAGATGGTAATCAGGCAGCCAATCAGCGCAGTGTCTCATTACCATAGCAACCCCGTCCACTTGGATCACCACATGAGTAGTGAAGTTAGAAACTGAGAGGCTGCAGATCGTTTGCAGAGGCTTGAATTCGTAGGATTATTAACTTTGAAGAAAATTGTTTTCAATGCAACAGAGACACTTAACAATCAAGGTGACGAGAAATATGTTGTTGTCGAGAAACATTTCAGAGGATTGTGGGTCAGAAAAATGACAGTTTTGAAATGCAGACAGTCAGAGAAAGTCTGTAAAAGAGAAGGTCAGGTCCTTCACAGACTGAGTCTTTGAAGGATGCCACCCCTGAATTGTGACACAGCTGCTGTTTTTAATCTTTTTGCTTTTATTCCCAAGTGCGATAAAGCCCAATATCTTTATCTGCTGTTTCCAAGGAAACCACCCACCGCCACTCTCCTGAACCTCCTCTATACAGCAACATCCATACAACCACTTATGTTTATTTCCAATTAAGGTTAACCACCGTCGCTAATCACACCATTACCCGAAGGACTTCTGAGAGCTCCGCAAATTGATTTGAGAAACAATCATCATGATTGTTGAAATGATAAAGATTCATAATCAGCTGAAGACGCTCCCTGAAATTAGCTCTATTGTCACTTTAATGCTTTATTGGCTAATGCTATTGTTTCATCAGTGATCCCGATCATGCATTCATGTCGACATACTCCGATCAAACCCTGGAAAGTGCTGTGGCGTAACTTTTTCATGCTCCAGCTGTTTGCACGTGTGCAGAGAAATATCCAAACCCTGTTTTTCAGGACTCTTTCTCTCTGACGCGATCCCTCAAACTTTCTCTCTGTTTGTTGTTGCAGTTCCTGGAGTGCATGTCGAGTGGGTGTTTTGAAGGTTTTGCAGCTCGTCCCGCGGGGCACAGAGGGAGAGGTATTCAGCACAAGAAGAATCTAAAGACTGTCACATATCCGGTCCGAGTGCTGAGCTGTTATCCTCCTCCGCTTAACACCCGCATATCTGAGATTCTTCACTCTGCTGCTTCTGAGGTCTCTGATAGAGCAGGAATGAGATATGAAAGGAGAGTGGTCCTTTAAAGGGAGGCGACACCTGTGTAGGAAGCTGGAATGTATATTTAAATCCACCTGATAGTCTGCTCCAAGAAAGTAGATGAAAGGAATTCAACTTGAGGAGGTGAGGAAGTTAAGGAGGACACGGCTCCTTCAGTAGGAGGATCTACACTCTGCTTTTTTGGGCGATATGAAGAAAGCACTAATACAACAAGATGCATTCTGGGAGGGGGAACAAGTTCAGGGAGCACTTATGTCAAACCGGTAAGATCAGCTCTGAAAACGGATATATAGACTCGCTGTAAAGACTTTTCTGTGTGTTTTTGTGATATCAGCGTTTTTCTATCCGACAAAGAGGATTGATGTTTGATTATCGATATTCAGGGAATGTTATCTTTGTTTTGATCTGTAGACCAATCAACAGCTGTATCTGCAATCAGCTGACCTGTAAAGGTCCAAAGTGAAGCCAAGCATCAACAGCTCAATGCAACACTAACCCCTAATTTCCATCGCATTCGGAACGGCGGCGAAAAGGCTGTATGCGACTTCGCAGCCGATCGCCAGAGTTCTGTTTTTTCCGGACGTGCCAGTTCTTCTAGCTTTGTCAAGCAATGACCTTCAGCTGGGGCGGTTCATGGCCGAGTGTGAAGCGGCTGGGATGCAAATCAACACTTCCAAGTCTAAGGCCATGGTCCTCAGTCGGAAAAAAGGTAGATTGCCTTCTCTGGGTCGGAGGGGAGGTCCTGCCTCAAGTGGAGGAGTTCAAGTATCTTGGGAGGGTAGGATGGAGCAGGAGACCGACAGGCGGATCGGATGCTTAACTGATCAGTCTTAGTGAAGAAAGAGCTGAGCCATGAGGCGCTCAGAGTAGAACCGCTGCTCCTCCACGTCGAGAGGAGTCAGCTGAGGTGCCTCGGGCATCTGGTTAGGATGTCTTCTGGACGCCTCCTGTTAGAGGTGTTCCGGACATGTCCCACCGGGAGGAGACCTTGTGGATGGCCCGGGACCAGGTGGAGGGATTATATCTCTCGCCTGGTCTGGGAGCACCTCGGAATCCTCCCGGAGGAGCTGGTGGAAGTGGCTGGGGTGAGGGCCGTGTTGGCTTCCCTCCTGAAAGTACTTCCCCCGTGACCTGCACCCGGATAAATGGAAGAAAACAACGACGACGACTAAAATAAAACATCCGGCTTCTTTTCAAAATTAAACACTATTTGTTTTAGACGGATCGTATTTCACAACATACAAACGTTGGCGGAGACGAACAAGTGAAAGGTTTTCAGACGTCATTTCACCCCGTTGACACCGTGGATGAGGAAATGCTGATTCTAGAAGTCTAGAAGTGGATTTCCTCCTCTGGAAGGACTCATTCTTATGTGGTTGTGCGGCTGTCTTTATAGATAACTTGTTATCGCGCAATCGCATGTGAATCTGTAGGTTCTTGTGAGTTCTTGCAATTCTGGCTGTCCGTTCCAGATGCGGTAGAAATTGGGGGTAAAAGTAATAAACCTATTTTTCTGTTGAGTTCTAGATTCACACACCTGTCCTTGTGCATATTTTACAGGTTTTAGTCGGTCTAATGCAAACATCAGGGCTGATCCCCAGGTCCAAACCCCAGGGGGACTCTCATATAACCACGGATGTTCAGGTGTAAATCCTCAAGCTAGCGACAACGTCCGAACACATCACCCCAGTATTCATGCTGCTTTTCATCTTCATCTGATGCATGCATAATACATGGCATTGATTTCCATCTGCCTTTGAAGGTTGCACATAAAAGATTGCGTGTTACATAGATGCAGCACTGAGACCGCTTTATGTAGGGACTGGTCTTCTTATCGCGTCCTGCTGCTCACATCATTACTGGGGAGATCTTCATGTATGATCCCTGCTGGACACGTCTGAACTGAGTGTCCTTTTAACGCCATGAGACACACTGGGAGAAAGAAAGGGCTCATTAAATCATATTTATTCATTAATCCTCTCATGTCATGTTTCAAAATAATAGAGGAGGCGAACGTTTGAAGGGGTTTTATTGATTCCCTCTCTGCCAGCGAAATATTCCTCTGACTTTCAAGACTTTCTGATCCGAGGTGGATCTTCTCCAAGTAATATCAGTAGTCCAGCGCCGCGCACACTTTCCCACAAGTGAGCCCATAAAGTGGAGAATGTGCCTAATCCCGTGCAGAGTTATGACATATGGTCAGTGGCTTAAGTGATCCGGGGGCATCTTAAGATGTGAGTGGAATTCTTCTCCCAAAGGGGAGCGGGAAGGTAAATAAAGGAGACAACGCCGAGCAGATATGGGAAAATATTGACTCGGCTGACCTCGGCGCTTAACTGATTAAGACGGGTTACATCTCACAGTTGTTTGTCTTCAAGCTACCAGTCTGAGTCGTGATCGGAGCGTGTGTTCAAGGTGAGAGCAGAACTATTGAAAGAATAGAAATTTAGACATCCACAGGGGAAAAAGAGCGTCAGATTGATTGTGTTACAAAATCGAGTCCAGAGTTCAACCTCTAGTGAGCAGTTTTCTGCACAAGCTGTGATCACGTCTGTTCGCCACTTTCTGCTTTAGCAGGAGTAAGAGCTTCACGCCATGAAACACTGCGTCAGAGTTGGACCATACTCTCCAAATCCAGCACATCAGAAAATAACAAATAGATCGGACCTCTTCATCAATAATCTCCAGATGAACCAGCCAGCACAGTGATCAATATCGTTCTCAGCTGATGAATGTATGTGGACTTTGAAGATCCAACAGAGTCCACTGAAGCATGAAGAAAAAACACTAAAGGTGATGTCTCCCATTTGTTCTCCTCCTGACCTCTCAGCCCACATGATTACTGAGCCCCTCAGCTGATCAATACCGATCAATACTCAATAACTCCTCAGCTTGTTTTTGTGTTTTCTTTAGGAAACGAGTGGAAAGAGAAAAAGACAACATTTAAAGATGGGGGGAAAAAAAGTATAATTCTGTCTGATCAATTTTACCAAAAACAAAACAAGTGAAAGTTTTTCTGTCAGATTTGTTTTTAGGTGAAAAGCTGATATTCTTGATACTGCTGTGATAGACGTGAATCTGTTTGTTTACGTTCTGTCGTCTTGTGACCAATCTAGAAAAAACTATCTATGTTTTTTTAAACCAGGTCAAAACAAAGAGAAACTCAGAACTACAAAACAAAAACTGTGGAAAAGAAACTGAACTAGGAAGGAAATTATGGAAAAAAAGACGAAAGTTTTCTATTCGATATAAAGTGAAATATAAATAAAGTGAAAGCTCCTGTGAGGAACTTCATGTCTAAGTGGCGCCCCCTCTGGACAAAGTAATACCTCATACCGTTTTCTAACACAAAGAAATTAAAGTCGCAGTTCCGTTTAAAAACTTCCTCACTGGAGCTTTAACCTGTAAGCGAGCTCACTGATGTGCCCTGACGGAGGATTTCTCATCGTCTAAATAAAGACGAATGACAAATCAGTGACTCAAGCAGCCTGGAGCGTCGCCAGCTTCTCCTGCGTCTCCGCTGCTTCATCATGAGTGCGCTGCAGATGTGAAACTTAAAGATGTCGGAGAGGATTTTGGGGTTTGAACTCCGGAGAACAAACTGAGCCGTGCTGCGGTTTTAACAGAGACGTCTGAAATTGACAGATCTGCCCGCCCCTATGATTCAGACGGTGTCTTGTCGAGGGGTTCTCCTCCGTCACGCCTGTTTTCTCCCACACTGTAGGGACACACGTGCATGCAATAACACACACACACACATACACACAGATATGCACTTTTAAACACATGCATGCTCTCTCTAACACACACCTCACTCGCTCACTTGCAGGGAGGGCGGAGTTAGCGCTAAAAGACTTGTAATTTGTGTTTTGCCAACAAAGGCTGGCTAATCCTGCAGAGCGCTTTGTCACAGCTGCTATTGTGTGTGTGTGTGTGTGTGTGTGTGTGTGTGTGTGTGAGTGTGTGTGTGAGTGTGAGAGGAGAGAAAACACAGGAGAAAGAGTGTGAAGCAGAGAGAGAAAACTGAGTTAAACGTGTGTGTGTCACTCTATGTCCCAGCTGTGTGTGCATATCTGCAGGGGGTGGGAGTGTGTATTCGTCGCCTCCCCCTCCTGCAGCTTTCTGCATGACAGAGCTCATTTCAGCTCCATCTCCTCCTCTTTCCACAGACACTCCTCCTACTTCTCCTCGGCGGCCGCGGGCTCAGACCTCTGCTCCTCTGGCGGCCACGTGGTGCCAAAGGGTCGCGGGGGGTCAAGGGGGACAGGAGGGGAGGGCCGCAACGCTTGTTGGACTCGTTTAGCTTAAGACAGAGACGATCTCTCTGATATCTGCCAGGGGGTCCCCTGACCATGTATATATCCCTGTATATATGACCAGGCGATAGAGGCCTAGGACCCACCTGCCCCCCCACCAGAGTGGCACAGAGGATAAAAACACTGACTGGGATCCTGAGGTCGTAGGTTCGAGCCCTACCTTGCCAGTTCTAGATGAATTTTAAAGTCTAGAGTCCACAAAGGACAGGAAAGTGAATGAGGAAACAAATGGTATGATCCTGTGTGTCCAAGTGGCTCAGAGGATAAGAACACTGACTGGCACTTCTGAGGGTCATAGGTTCGAGTCTTACCATCCCCACTTAAGGTGAATTTTGAAGGTCTAGAGTCCACAAAGTACAGTGATATATGAAAAAAACATGCTTGTCTTCTGTGTCCACATGGCTCAGTGGATAAGGAGACTGACTGGTACTCCTGAGATCGTGGGTTCGAGTCATACCATGCCCACTTCTAGGTGAATTTTGAAGGTCTAGAGTCCACAAATGACAGTTATATATGAAAAAAAAACACGATTGTCTTGTGTGTCCACATGGCTCACAGGATAAAGAGACTGACTGTGACTCCTGAGCTGGTGTGTTCGAGTCTTATTCGGGACAAGGTGAATTTTAAAGTCTAGAGTCCACAAAGGACAGAAAAAGTGAAAGAGGAAACAAATGGTATGATCCTGTGTGTCCAAGTG